GGAAGGCAGGCAGAGGTCTGTGCTGGGTCTTCTACCCCTCGTACTGATGATGTTCTTTAGTTGGGCAATGAAACGTCCGTTGAGAAAGCTCAGAGAGCCCCCGAGGGCAATTCCTCAATTCATTTCATTTCATTTATTGCATTTGTATGCCGCCCTATCCCGAGGGACTCAGGGCAGCTAACAAGCAGGGGGGGAAGGGGAATACAAACAAGAGACAAACAAGCAAGTTAAAAACAACGCAACAGTCACATCAGATTAAGTGGGGCCGGGAACTCATCAGCCCCAGGCCTGCCGGAACAGCCAGGTCTTAGTGGCTTTGCGGAAAGCTGGAAGGGTAGTGAGGGTCCGGATCTCCACGGGGAGATCGTTCCAGAGGGCCGGAGCAGCCACAGAGAAGGCCCTCCCCCGAGGGGTCGACAGTCGACATTGGCTAGCAGATGGAATTCGGAGGAGGCCTAATCTGTGGGATCTAATTGGTCGTAGGGAGGTGATCGGTAGGAGGCGGTCTCTCAAGTACTTGCAACCCAGTGGTGGGTTGCAAATACTTTTACTACCAGTTTGGGGGCGCTCCTGCATGCAACGCTTCTGCGCATGTGCAGAAGGGTCTGGGCGGGGCTTCCCACCACCGCTACTACCAGTTTGACTGAACCCGGAGCAACCCACCACTGATTTGCATCCTTCTGACAAGCAAAGTAAATATGGCAGTCAGATTCACTTAACAACCAGGTTACTAACTTATCAACATGCACTCACATTATTGGTGAACCGGTTGTTAAAGTATGTGCAGCCCACATCTGGGCAAAACTCACTTAACAACAAAAAAATTGGGTTCAATTGTGTCATAAATTGAGGACTACCTGTATTACTTCCTTAACTTATGCAACATGCTAGAATTAAAATGACCACATTTTAAATGGCTGAAAACTCACTTATTAGTTTTCCCAATTCTATTTCTTGAACATCAGCTTCCTAGCTATAATTATTTCCTAAATGTTGAAAAAATAAAGATCAACTCAAGCACTTTTTATTTGTACTTGCTTTTGTATGACAATGTGATAGGACTAAGTATGATAATGAAAAGAACTTATATCCTGGCTATTCCCTTTTCTTTTTGCAGTTTTCTGTAAAACTACTATGGAGATCTTTGGGATTCTCTGAAGCAACATGATGCAAAATACTGGGGGGGGGGGGATCACAAATCAGTTACAGTCCCTTCAAAGAATGGAGTAAGTTCTTCTACTTACCAAAACAGTGATTTGGATCTTAACCCAAATGATTAATTATTGAAGAAGAACTGAATAACCTAAGATTTATAGTTATATTGAGCATTAACCATGGATTCTCCACAGTTAAGCTTTACTGATCTAACCATAAATTTAAAGGAAACTGTTATGAACAGATTAGTCAGTATCTTTTAAAACACATATTTAATTTAAATCCACCATATTGGAATAGACTGTAAATAAGCAGGTGTTAAGTCCTATTCGTCACAGTTTTTAAATTGTTAATCTACATAGAATTTTACCAGTTAAAGGAATCATGTTTCACTCATAAAAATAAAACACTATTAACAATCTTTTATGAATATACAGTATAATAAAATCATGAAGGATAACTACTGAGTGCATAGCTTATTTATAAAATAATCAAATTCACAGCAATCTATTGTTGGACGAATAACTAATGTTTTAAGAAGTTAAAGCTTAGCTTTCTAGCTAATAATATATTTTTGTGAAGTGATCCTGTTCTTTTAAATACTCAAAGACTATGTATTTGATGCTTTGTTAGATGAGTATCTTAAGGCACAAATAAGTGTAAAGCAAAGTATCAGTAATAACAAGTATAATACAAAATTAGCAAGTTTAAGTCACACATGGAATTATTCTTATATGGTTATATTTCAAGGTGATGGTAGCCCACTTAAGACTGAGTATTAAGGCAGACAGCCTGTTATTTCACCAATAGACACCTAAGTTAATGTGAAAACTGCAGATTAATTTAAGACTGAAAATCAGAATACAAATTCGGAACAATTTATTGCAATTTAATTTCAAACCTGACCACAAACAAATAATCAGGATTTATCTTTCTTTCTGGTTAGAGACAAGTTTTTTTAAAAAAAGTCTTATAAATTTAAGAAAAGAGAAGACTAGCAAGCAAGAACATAACCCTAATAGATTTACTGAGATCAGGTTTCACAGGAAGATATAAAAGCCTAGCACTGACCAATATGACCAAAGTGGATGAAATGCTAAAATACTGAATCTTTAATACACTACTCATCAGAGTAAATCAAACCAGCCCGATATCTGTCAATGCTACTTTCAAATTCATTTTAGAATGAAAACTTAAAACTTAATCTACATATACAGTTTTTTATTCCTAGCATTATCGTGCAAGGGCAGGGTCTGCTTTTTTTCAGATCAACAGTTTTGATCCATTGGTTGTGACAGGAATTGATCGACTGGCTTGTTGTCCATTGTTGTGGGCTTAGAGAGTTACTGGTCCAAGATCATTCAGCTGACTTTCATGCTAATGCAGAATTAGAACTCACAGTCTCTGGTTTCTAGCCTGGTACCACTAGACTAGTTTATAATTCATTTAAAATACTTATAGCCACAAACATAACCATACAAATACCTGAAATAAATACAACTTTAGACTTTAGAAAGAGTTGCTTCTGTGTATGTATTTCAAAGATCAATATAGTTAACCAATCCATACCAAAAGCAGACCATGTCAGAAGTATATAATTTAGATCTCAGTGATCAACAGGCCTAAAATTTATTCTACCAGAATCTATGAATTTCAACATGTGTATTAGTATACACTCCATTTCTTTATCAATATATTCTATATATTCTATATTGAATTCTGTCAATATCAACTTTCTGAAAATAAAAACAGAATGTATCTTAAATTCAGAGAAATAATAACCAAGCATTAAAGAAAAACAACCATGTATAAAATGAATGCAGCTCTAAAACCACTACTTTAATCTTTAACTTACACATTAAGATGCACGGATATTGGTTTTCTTTCCATCTTTATTTTGGTGGGTTATATTTTGCTGGTAAACTTTCAAGTTAGGTAAATTCGGCAATTTCTACCTTTTATTTGGAAGCAGACCAGGAAGATTCCAGCTCACACACTGATTTTGGCAAACATGAACTATATGTCTGCACATATAAAACTGATTACATTGTACTGCACAGCATAGATATACAAGTTTCTAATGAATCAACTTGCATCATGGATAAGTCTCTTAAACCAAAAGGACATTACAGTAAGGAACTACTGTTTTTCCCATATAGATCCACGGTACTAATAGTATGCAGATAATGCTAAGTGTTTTTTTTTCCTTTCTGGAAAAGAAATCTCATTCTAAAGAGTATTTGAGCATGATCAGTATATTATATGAAATTAATTAAAATTAGTAGTTGACTGCCAATTATTCTCAGGTAGAGATAGATAAATAGATAGACAGACAGAGAGACAACAGGATGCCTATTATTAGTCAGGACCAATTGGCACATGCAACAAAACTCCATATAATGGCCATCTTATCAACATCCTTCTTACGTTTTATCTCCTGAGGTTAATTTATAGATTACTCTCTAATGCTTTGACAACCTACCCTGAATTCTTTGATAGTCATTTTAAAAGATTTTTCCTTTCTTTTTTTAAAAGAGAAAACAGTTGCGTTTTGAAAAGAATAAAAAAAAATCTGCTGTACCCTTGTTCTTTGTTTCAAAGTAAGAGATGTTTGCATCCTTTGAGTGGTGAAGAATGCAACTTTGAATGCAACTGTCTTAACTACACTCTTCCATAATTTAGCAAGACACTCTTTGTATTCTCTTACCTTTATGGTTTTGGTCTGGAGTCTGAGTCCATTTAAAGTGTTAATGGCTTTCTCTGCATCCTTTGGATCAATATAGTTAACAAATCCATACCCTAAACTCTGCCCTGTTGAAACATAAGAAACAAAAAAAAAAAAAAGGACTCAGTATTCTTTGTAGCACACATGTACGATTTCCAAATGGGGGATTAAAGTTCTTTTCTCTGGTACCATTCTTAACCTAAAAAATTCATCCCAATCCAGAAAGCATACCTTTACAATCTGAACTCCCAAAAATTAACATTTTTTTAAAAAGCATGGGACCTTTTGTGTATGATAATGCTGATTTCTTTACATTCCATAGGGGAGTTAAAACTGAAAACTGCATGAATTAAAAAAAAAAACCCTTAATACTCTTTTACTAAAGCTTTTTTGTATGTGAATCACGTTAAAAGAACAGATGACAAGAAACAGGTAGCAGCAGGATTTACATGCATAAATTCATTAGCTGTGTGATATTTTAATTAGCAGACAGAACTAAAGAAATGGTGGTACAGCAATGCAAGTTCAACTGAAAATGAAAAAAAAATGTTATGCTTACACCAGGCAATCTTTAAAAGCCAAAATCTTACCAATGAAAACATGTAAGAGATCTGTGTTTTTCCTTAACCTTCACTAGCTTTTTAAAATTTAGTACATTCATATACTATACCTCAACAAGAAAGCAATTTACATAAACAAAGCAGAACATAATTTTCAAAAGTCAGAAGATGAAAAACTAAAATGTAAAAGCCAACAAATTAACTGCTGCTTTGACGACAACATAAATATTTAGATCAGAAATATCAGAATATTATGTGCCAGCATAGCTTATTATCTTGTACTCTTTGAACTGTGTTCAGGAGGTGAGATAGCAAAAAAGAAAAAAGAAACAATAAAATTATTTTTGTATTTAGATGATAGAAGCCATTTTGAGCAGTCAAGACAATTTCAACAGCTTTTGTTTTATTGGTAGAGTCTGTGTTTAGATTTTACTGGTCATTTTTATCCAGAAACAACAACATAGTTTGGTAACATGATCTAATCACAAGGTTCACACAAATATGGGTTCACCTTGACCCTGTAGAATAGTGAGAAAAATTAACTAAGAACAACTGATGTCACCATAATTTCCCCTTTGCTTGTTCTTTCACATGTGCTTACAAATGTATTTGTTTTAGAGTGTATATCAGCAAATGCATAATTACATATTATTTTTTCCTTCTGTTATCTCAATATGCTCAGTTTTGAAAAATGACAATAGCTCTATATCCACATGTATTCCATCCTTCCTGAGAGAAAACCAATAATTTTATACTTATACATTACAATTTGGTTTTGTTCAGCAGTTTTTCATTATATTAATTATAAAACATGAGTGCATTGCTAAATCTGGCCAAGTCACATGCAAGCATTTTTTAATGTGAAAAGTCAGTGCATTGTGACTTAGATTATTATATATTGTCTCCTTTGTACAATGTCATCTTTAAAATTTTAATTTTATTATTTTATGATTCTATAGGATGAGAATGACATTCAATATGAGATTCAATATTATCCTCTGTGTCTTCTGTTTGATTTTACAAAATGTCTGACTGTCGGGATTAAATGTGGACAAGGCAATAGAAATTGCATCCAGGCAAGATGAAACTGTATGTTTTCATGTTCAAACTGGCGGTATAATTCATCATGCAAGAGCCAACATAATAGAGTGGCCGAAAGACAGGTCTACAAAAAAAAAGAAAAAAGAAAAGTGGCTTGAAAATTGTTGTGGAAGATTGTTTGATTTCAATATAAAGCATGGATTCTAAGATATTGTTTCCCCTACCTGAACTCTAGAATGTCAATCAAAAGATGTAAAGGTCACTTTGAGTCCTAGGAGTCAAGTCCTATATGTGATAAACATACCTCTGTGGATTGACTTGGCTGTTTGATCAGCTTTGTTAATATTTCTAATCATGTGCTATCCAGTTATGAATTAATTTCTCAGTAAATGGTTTTATCAAACTAAAGTCAAGAATGTTTAGAATTATAAACTTCTCCTATTTCACCAATAATTAATATTCTGGGATCTTAATATTAAAACCAATAAAGATGTGCTCCAGCCTTTTTCCAGTTCTTTAACAATGGTCTCCCAGGGATAGCAACTTGATATTCACTTCATCCGGCTTGAACAATAGAATCCCATATTTCTAACTTAATAGAAGTAAATTTCCAATAACATAAAACCCTGCCCTTCCCTCCCTTCATTCCAGAGAAAAGTACACAGAGTAAATATATAGAAAAGGGCGACCCATTGCTTTAGATGAATTATTATTATTAATTTTTGGGTAGACCCGAGACAAATTTCTGTTTTCTCAAACCACAGCTGCCTCATGATTCAAAGATCAAATTTCTATGTCACCTGCCTGAAAACAGGGCCACTATCCTAATATTTTCTCACAGTGCAGGGTCTACTTTTTCGAACAAATGCTATTTCACACAATCAAATTCAGCAAATGGGCCCAATTGGATGATTTTTGTGTCTGTAATATTTGTGTACAGACACTTTTGTTTTTGCTCATGGGCATTTGCCATCGATGTTAGCGGTGTAGGATGCTGCTTAATAGACCATGGCCATACCACCGTAAGCATATTTCCTGCATTTTCTCTGTAAACAGTACAACTCCCCTCTGCTGCCAGACATGCCTCATGTGGTCAACAAGGGAAACACAATATGCATATCTAATGACATATAAAGGCTGCTTGACAGTTTTAGTGGTTGGCCAGCATTCAGTGCCATATAGTGTTACTGGGCAAATCATTTTGTAAAATTTTGATTTTAGGTGAATTGCATAGGCCTATTGTTCTGACTTAGGCTTCCTGATACAGCAAAATGCACACGATTAAGTGCAAAAACCCTATTTTTATTTCAAAGGCTGTGAATTATATTCATTCACAGCCCGTAATGAGTTTCAAATAGTAGTAAAGAGTTCTACAGCAGACTGCTAAATGCTTCGGGATAAGGCTGATAAGCACCCACCTTTATCTTTAAAAATGCTGCCAAAGACTTAATTGGCAATTAGTTTGGCAAGGCCACATGGAGCAAAGAGTCCAAACAGCTCATGCACCTTTGTTCCTCCTTTATGTCCTATGGGAGTGGCCAAGCATCTCCAAACCTTACTCTGTTTTAACTGTTCTTGCAGCTCTGCACATGTGCACACTGGGAACAGGGGGAGCCTGTTCCTCTGCCTCGCTGCTGTCCGACTCTAGAGGCTCCGGAGGCAGCACATAACTCCCAGATGGCCCTGGCCCCCTCTCTGCCTCTGATGCAGAGCCCTCATCCGAGCCTTCCCCAGACTCCAGGACTGGCTCATGTTCCTTCCCAACCTCCTCACTGTCGACTGCTGCGAGCTCCGCCGGTGGACCACAACACCTATCATAGAACACACTCTAGTGATCTCCTTCCTATGCAACCATGCTGCATTCTCTCTCACATCTACTGTCGCTTCAGCACTGACTTGAATGATGAAAGTGCTTGGGCTACTCTCTGGATACTCAGTCTTCTTGATATTGAAGTTCAAATTGAATTGCACCTCAATATCAAGTGCTTTCCAGATGGCAGCTGAGAAAAGGATCTTATTGGCATAAAGTAAAACCCAGGAGACACTGTGATGGAAGTCTTGTGTGATGTGTGATGTATCCATAACAACAATGAACAGGAACGGCGAATCTTGTGTACACAAATCTTCACAGGAAAACTGTCAGAAAGACCAGCAGCACGTGATACTTGGCTGCTGGAATTAACATAAATATTTGGGTAGATCACAGAGCTGTGGTGGCACAGCGGTTAGAATCAGTACTGAAGGCTAACTCAATGCTCACTCCAGGGGTTTGATTCTAAGCGGCTCAAGGTCGGCTCAGCCTTCCATCCTTCTAGGTCAGTAAAATGAGGACCCAGATTGTTGGGGGCAATGTCCTGACTTTGCAAATGCTTAGAGAAAGATGTGTAAACTTTTTTCCCTCCTAACTAAAAAAGGGTGAAAATTTGGTGTGTCTTGTACACCAACCCCCACCCCCACCCTTTGGCCTCTGCCTCCCAGCAATTTGCCTTCTTGCAGCAAACCGCTAACAGCCTGTTTCAGTTTCAGCATAGCCGGATTATAATACTGAAAATAATTAGAATTTATTGTACAATAACATACACAAACATACACACACAAATACACTGAATGCTTTGATTTCTTGTGCTTGTACTAATAAAGACTATTACAATTACAAGTGATTGTTGTCTGTAACAGTTGGGTTAAATTAACAAATGCAATTTTGGCCAATGTCTGTAGACCTCTTGGTGTATATGTAATAAGACATTAAATGTTAGGAAACTAACGCCTTGTCTCAACCTCTTCCTTAATCATGGGAATAATAGTAACTCAATAACCATACAAAATAATATCAATCATACACTAAAAATTATGATCACCTTATTCATGGCATAAATTGTGCTCCTAACGCCTCTGACACATAGGGTCACAATGGCAAGATATATGGATCTATAGAATTTCTAAATTAACAAGAGTCTGTAAACAAGACAGAGGTTTTGACAAATCCACTGTATCAAAAATACAGGTTTACAATTCAAAGTTACAACAGAATCGAAAAAAGTTACTTATGTCCTGTCCTCAAAGTTATGACTGCCATACCATCTCCATGCTCATGTGATCATATTTTTGGCACTTGCAACTAGTTTGCATTTACAACCAGTTGCAATGTTCCGGGGTCATGCCATCATATTTTATGTGTATTGAATAAGCTGGATTTGGATTTACAACCACATGAACTGCTTAACAACTGCAATAATTTACTAAACAACTGTCATAAAAAATGGTTGCAAAATCAAGTCCAGTTATGTAATGACTTGACTTAATATCACAAAAACATCTGGGCTCAATTATTAGTCATATACTACCTGTATTGAGAGAATAAACTGACTCCAAACCAGAAAAATAATAATAATCTAACTGAAAGTAATGAGACATGTTATTTAAATTTTAAAGTTAGCCTTTAATTTTTTTTCCTTAAACTTCATTTTAAAAAATATCCAGAAACC